GGGGCGGGGCGGGCGGGCAGGCACTGGGCCAGGGTGCGACCTCAGACCTCCTTCCTCTGCAGGCCCTCAGGGCGTCTGAGTCCGGCATGTGAAGGCACCGAAGGCGCGGTTCTGCCAGGCTGACCGCTCCGGGCGCAGCAGCTTTGCACAAGCTAAAGCCCGACCTCTCCTCTCAACTCTGCTCCCCGCCCTCCCTCAAGCCCATGCGCGCCAGAGAGGGGGTGGCAGCTGTAGTCTGGCGCTAAACCCCAGAACACCCAGTGGGGGAGAACCAGGGGCTGCTTCCCTGCCCCAGCGGGCTGTGGCCCAGGGAGCGGGCAGGAGCTGGCCGGGGCTACATTCATGGCCCTAGTCCCTGTGGCCAATGCTGGGGAGTGAGGGCTCTCAGCCCACCTGCCCTTTCCTCTTGACCTCCTCGCCACAGCACAGGCGAGGCCAGGGCCCAGGGCTGACTTTCCGCAAAGCTAGGACTTATGTCAGAGGCCAGAGGGCAGGGCTCCTCTACTGCAGAGGCTTACGGTACAGAGGCCCGCCCAGGGCAGCGGGTTCTCACTGTCTTGGTGGTCGTGGATGTTGTGATGTTTTTGTCTGTGTGAACCTTTCCATGTTGAAACTTAAAATTAAACACACGCATACAGAAGGTGGCCTTGCTTGATGGGGATTCATTGGCCAGGCCCTGGGCGTCCGTGAATGCCGACAGACTCAAGAACCAGATGGCGTGGGAGCCAAGCTTTCACAATAAAAATTTATTCTTACACAAATCTACAGCTTTTGAGCAGCGAAGAGAAGACCCATCTGGCACCTAGGAAGGGGCTGTGAGGCAGCACATGGGCCGCAGGGTGCTCCGGGCTGTCACGGCACGTGGCTACCGGCTCTGCTCAACTGTAAGACAGGGGAGGCCAGTGAGCGGGGGGAGGTGAGGGGAGGGCAAGGTTCCCGCCTCAGACCCTACCCTGAGCCACTCACTGTATGTGGAGATGTCAATTTCCTCTGGAAGCTCAGCCACATTCACTTCAAACCTGTCCTGTACGTCGTTGAGGATTTTGGCATCATTCTCATCAGAGACAAAAGTGATGGCCAGGCCTTTGGTGCCAAAGCGACCTGCACGGGCAACCTGCAGGGAGACAGGATCAGGGTCAGGCCTCTAGGGAAGTGGCGCCAGGGCCCCACCGTCATCCTGGAAGGGAGACGCTGGGGAGATGCCACCCTGCGAGGCCACTCACACGGTGGAGGTAGGTGTCCGAGTCCTCCGGCATGTCATAGTTGAAAACAATGTTGACTCGCTCAATGTCCATCCCTCGGCCAAACAAATTGGTGGCCACCAGGATCCGCCGCTGGAAATCCTTGAACTGCTGATAGCGGGACAGGCTGGGTGCAGGAGAGTGGGCAGCCGTCAGCGGGCCCCGGGCGGCACTCCCTGCAGCCCGCACACCATCACTCCACTCACCGCTCCTCCTGGGCCATGCCCCGGTGGATGGCGATAGCTGGGAAGTTCTGTTCCACCAGGAGCTGGGCCAGGGCCATGCAGCGCTGCACCGACTTGACGAAGATGACCACCTGCAGGGGGATGGCAGTCAGGGCAGAGTCCCCATATGTGCTAATCTCCCCAAGGCCCAGAACCCCACAACAGGCGACAGGGACATCACCTGATTGAACTCCAGCACGTCCAGGAGGTCAAAGAGCTTGCGGTTCTTTTCGCTGTCCTTGAGCTTCACGTAGTACTGCTGTAGGCCATGCAGCGTGAGCTTGGTCTCGTCGTCCACAAACACCTCCATGGGCTGTGTGAGAAGGAGGCGGGGGCGGCAGGGATCACGCTTGGGCATCTCGTCTCCCCAGAACCTTCCAGTGAGCGACTCCTTTGTGCGATGCTTCCCAGAGGGCCTGTGTACCCGGCCTCAGCGAGCATCTCTACCAAAAGCTGGACGTGAGCTCCGGCCTGGCTCAGGCGTGGACCAGACTGACTCCCAGCTGGACAAGACCGAGGGAAAGGAAGGAGACTCCACAGCCTCCCAGCATCCTGTGTGCCGTGGGGTGTCCCAGGGTGGCCCTGGGCCCCAGGCCAGAGCTGCCTTGCCGAGGTCTCCGCCGGCGGGTGGGCCAGGGTCTCCCTACTCACATCCTGCATGAACTTCCTGCAGACAGGCCGGATCTCCTTGCTCAGGGTGGCGCTGAACATCATGCACTGCTTCTCATGGGGTGTCAGGCGAAAGATCTCCTGCACGTCCCGCCGCATGTCTGGGGAGAGGGCAAGAAGCAAGTGGGTGTGAGCCTCTGCCAGGCCATGGACCCCCCAGACCAGACCCAGCCCCCTCCCAACCTGTGCCAGGGAGCCAGTGGCACTGCGATGAGGGCGGTGTGAGCGCAGGAGTGGAGGGAGGGGCGAGTCCCAGGTGCCTGAGGGGCTGGGCTCGGGCGAGTGCAGGCGCGGAGGAACTGCAATCCACTTACACGCCGCCAGGCGGAGCAGCCAGCCCATGCGCCTCGAGCCTCGCTTCAGGGAGGGGAGCCTGAGGCAGAGATAGCCGCTGGGGTGAGAGCTGCACTGCCCCCAGGACACAACCCAACCCCCATGGCCCTGGTGGGGCTCACTGAGGGTAGCAGTGCCTAGAGCCCAGCAGGCAGCTGAACTGCATTTTTTTTTTTTTTTTTTTAGAGTCAGAGTCTCACTCTGTCACCAGGCTGGAGTACAGTGACACACTCACGGCCACCTCAGCCTTGACCCGCTGGGCTCAGGTGATCCTTCTGCGTCAGCCCTCCAAGTAGCTGGAACTACAAGTGCAAGCTACCATGCCTGGCTTGTTTTTTGATTTATTGTAGAGACAAGGTCTCACCAAGTTGCCCAGGCTGGTCTCGAACCCCTGAGCCCAGGCAATCCTCTTGCCTCGGCCTCCCAAAGTGCTGGGATGACAGGCTTGAGTCCCCATGCCCGGCCTGGAACCACACTCTCCAGGTGCCCGCATGTGTGCCTACATCCAGGCAGGGCAGTGGCCACCCTGGGCCCTGTAGCCCCATTCAGCTTGGGTGCAGAAGCAGCACACCATGCTCTGCCGACACTAGGCCTTCCCCTACAATCGCCTATGGGAGACTTATATGCTGGCCACCCACATGACCCTTGGGAGTTTCCACCTGCTCCCAGGGCCCTCCTTGCTTCAGTTGGGGGGCTGTGAGGGTGGGGACGAGCCCTGGGGCCCAGCGGGGTCACTCACCCAGCTGCTCCAGCATCTTGTCACACTCATCCAAGACAAAGTGCTTCACGTTCTTCAGGTTCAGGCTCCTGTTCCGCACAAGGGCCAGGATCCGGCCTGGGGTCCCCACCACGACGTGGGGACAGTTCTTCTTCAGCACATCTTCATCCTTCTTGATGGAGAGGCCCCCAAAGAACACGGACACCTACGGGGATGGGAAGGAGGTTGCTTCCACCCCTCCACCCCACTATGCAACCCTGATAGCATAGCCGCAGCAGCCCAAGGACGCCCGACACCCAGCACTGGCACCTCCCAACAGGAGGCCTGAGAGCCCGCCATGGCTCCCCTGAAAGGCAGCCCCAGGCTGGGACCAGCACAAGCCCCTGGGAGCCATGCATAATTCATCAGGCTTTTAAGGCGCATAAACCACCGCAAACCTCAAAGGCAGCTGCCACCGCCAAGCTTGGTAAATGCCGGCTGGACCAGAGCCGAGGCGGGTGAAGCTGCAGAAGACCATGTGGCACCCAGCCCAGCCTGAGGGCACCCACCTTGACGCTGGGCATGTACTTGGAGAAGCGCTCATACTCCTTGCTGATCTGGAAGGCCAGCTCCCTTGTGTGGCACATGACCAGGACGGTCACCTGGGGAGGGGCAGGAAAGAGGTGCTTAAGGCAGTGTCCCAAACTGCTCCCTTCCTGTGGTGGCCCCCACCCAACAAGACACCTGCCACATGCCTCCCGCACTGTGGGCCATCTGACGGCTGGCCCGTAGGCCTCCCTTGTCTTGGGGCCCTGCCCTTCGCCACTTCTGAGGCCTCTGTCTCCCGACATCAGGACCTGCAGCGAGGCCAAGAACAGAAAGGCCTTCAGAACCTCAGGACTCCGCCTGCCAGGTGACGCGGGCCCTGCGCTGCCCTACCTTCCTGCCCATGATGCCAACACTATGACCACACCAGAGCCCTCCAGTGTCCTCATCCTTCACCCTGTGTCCTGTGACAGGGGTCCCCACCCCTAGACTGTGGGCCAGTACCGGGCCAGGCCTGTTAGGAATCAGGCCGTAGAGCAGCAGGTGAGTGGTGGGTGAGCTAAGCTCTGCCTCCTGTCAGATCAGCAGCAGCATTAGATTCTCACAGGAGGCTGGGCGCAGTGGCTCAAGCCTGTAATCTCAGCATTCTGGGAGGCTGAAGAGAGAGGACTGCCTGAGCCCAAGGGTGTGAGACCCGCCCAGGCAACATGGTGAGACCTCATCTCTACCGTAAATAAAAAAAATTAGCCGGGCACGGTAGTGTGCGCCTGTAGTTCCGGCTGCTTGGAAGGCTGAGGCAGAGGGATCGCCGGAGCCCAGCAGGTCGAGGCTGGGGTGGCCATGAGTGTGTCACTGCACTCCAGCCTGGGCAACAGAGTGAGACCCCGACTCAAAAAAAAAAACCTCTCACATGAGTGTGAACCCTGTTGCGAACTGCACATGTGAGGCTCACATGCCTTAGGAGGACGAACGCCTGATGATTCATCTCCCACCCCACCTGTCTGTGGACAAACTGTCTTCCACAGAACTGGTCCCTGATGCCAAAAAGCTTGGGGACTGCTGCCCTGTGAAAACACAGGCACATGCACCAACACGCAGCCTGAGGACAGGTACCCGGCATGACTGAGCACGGCACTAGGATTCGCCTATGTTATCCCCCAATACAACGCGAGCATGGGAGGAGACCAAGGGCCTGTCAGCAAGGCCAGCAGTGACAACTGCACTCTGTGCAAATCCCCTTCATGAACATACGCCCCCTAGGAAAGCACACGTTGAAACATAGCATCCCCGGGGAGGGAGCCTGTGGGCCTTCGCAGTTCTGGCTTGTCAGTTATTTCTGATTCTTCTTACAACTTCATACTCTACTTAATTTAAAAGCTCCCAAAGACAACACGGAAAGATTCTGGACCTAGGACAGGAAGAAGCCCACCCACCTGTCCGTTGACGGGCTCGATCTGCTGCAGGGTGGCCAGCACGAAGACGGCCGTCTTGCCCATCCCAGACTTGGCCTGGCACAGCACGTCCATGCCCAGGATGGCCTGGGGGATGCACTCATGCTGGACTGAGGAAGAAAGACCGTGAGGGACCAGAAACTGGGTACACCCCCTGTGCAGCTCCCCACCAGGAGGCTGGAGCCACAGTGAGGGCAGCCAGAGAAGAGGCCAAGTGCAGGGCCAGGTGCGGTGGCTCACGCATGTAATCCCAGCACTTTGGGAGGCCGAGGCAGGAGGATTGCTTGAGCCAGGAGCTGGAGACCAGCCTGGGCAACACAGCAAGACCCCATCTCTACAAATTTCTTTTTAAAATTAGCCAGGTGTGATGGTGCACACTCTTAGTCCCAGCTACTTGGGAGGCTGAGCAGGAGGATTGCTTAAGCCCAGGAGGTCAAGGCTGCAGTGAATGAGATCATGCCACTGCACTTCAGCCTGGAGAACAGAGCAAGACCCTGTCTCTTTAACAAAACAAAACAAAACAAAAAACCCGGGCTCGGTGGCTCAGCCTATAATCCCGCGCCTTTGGGAGGCTGAGGTGAGTGGATTGCCTGAGCCCGCGGGTTCAAGACCCACCTGGGCAGCAAGACCTCATCTCTACAATAAATCAAAAAAATCAGCTGGGCGTGGTAGCGCATGCCTGTAATTCCGGCTACTTGGAAGGCTGAGG